TCAAGGGATCAAGAATCTTCTGGGCTAAGAGCTTAGTACTATTTGAAACAATAGAAGCAGCACTGGAATAGAGTACTGAGGAATCAAGGATGCAGAGAGAAATGTCTGACAGACTTAGTGCCTATGGACATCCAGAAGGAGCCCTGGTGGCACAGTGGTGGATGCATTTGACAGCCAACAAAAAGGCATTTTGAATCCACCAGTTGCAGCTCCTCGAGAGAAAGATGAGGCAATCTGCTTCCAAAAAGATTTATGCCTTGGAAACCTGGGCAATTCTACTCTTTCGACAAGCTGGAGTCCACTTGATGGCAGCGGAGTTTTGAATGTGTTCAGAGCTGGGTCAGACCCAAGTTGAGAGAAGCATGTGTTAGCGAAAGACAAGCCCAGTGTGTGAGCATTCCTAAACAGTTTGTGGGCCAGAGAATATAATCTTTTAACTAAATAAAAATTAAAAATGCTACATGTGAAAATGATGGAGTATGTACAAAAAGGTAGTTGGAGGGAAAGAGGAAAGATTCTGCTTAGAACAGAAATAATCTGAGCATCCAGCTCAAAAAGTTAACACAAAAGCTCATTACCAAAGTGTGCAACTATGAATGAATGGAAATCCAAAGTCTCTGTAAACATTCGTTAAAGTAAATTAAAAAAAGGAAGAAATTGAAACCCAAACAAACAAACAAACAAACCCCACCTCATTACATCAAGTCGAAATTGCCTCACAGCTGACCTCCTAGCAGGTTTCTGAGGCTGTAAATCACATGGGTGGAGAATGCCTACCTTTCACTAGTGGAGCCACTGTCGATTCAAACCACCAGCGAGGTGCTCCCTACGGACCACACCACCAGAGCTCAAGGAATTAGAAATGGATGAACTAATAAACTTAAAAGATGTAGATAGAAGAAAACAAGAAAGCTATGAAGGAGAATAAGAAATATATTAAACAGAGAAATCAATAAACTAGAAACCAAATGTATAATCAAGGTAGAGCTGGCTCAGGAGGCAGGAAGGGATCTGAAAAAAGGGTGATGAGTTGAAACAGGAAACAAAGGGGGGAGGTGGGTAAAGTGTTAAAACGTAGGGTTTGTAATCAGCCACAAAATATGACATGTATGAACTACTGAATGGAAAACCGGTTTGCTCTGCAAACTTGTTTTCAAAAAACAGCACAACAAAAAAAGAAATAGAAATGAAAGAGCTGGCTCAGCTCTAAGTACATGGTTTGTCTTTTGGTCTCTCTTGGGTTCTGAAAGGGCACCTCACCCTCAGTGTCTTCAGACGAATGAATAAACTCAATCTCTGAGCTCACAGCCTAGAGCTCTGGCTGCATAGTATCCTGAGGCCCATTTGCCTGTGGGTCTCCCTCCTAGTCCAAAACTAGACCCAAAGTAAACCAAACCCATTGTTGGCCAGTTGATTCCAACTCAAAGCAACACTGTAAGGTCCCCATGGCTAAAAATCTACAGAAGCTGATTGCATCATCTTGCTACTAAGGAGCAGCTGCTGGGTTCAAACTGTCAATCTTTTAGTTAGAAGGCAGTGCTTAACCACTGTGCAAACAGGCTTCCTTACATCTGCTGCTGACGAATCAACTGCTGACTGGTGATCCAGCTAGTCAGTTACCTTTAATCTTTGACATCTGCTGTAATGACAACAATGACATTGCTAATAATCCTTTACATTTGTTGAGCTGTTACCATCCAGACTGCCCGAAGCAATAGTGCCTGATGGAAATGAACACAAATATTTCACAGATCCCCAGCACCCTGGGAACCGAGTACCCCTAAGAGATAGTGTTCTATTTACAGATGAAGAAACTGAGGTTCCACGTGCCCCCGGCAGAGGAGCCAGGACATGAACCCACATGCTCTGCTTGAAGACCCTCCTGAGCCCCCCAAATCCCTCTTCTTGAAACTCTGCTAGTCTTTTTATCTCTCTAGCTTCTTTAAGATCACATTTAGCCTAGCTTTGACTCCCCCCACAAGCCTCTCTTGTCTCCAATTTTCAATCGCATCCATTTCTACACTTGGCAGGGAAGGCTAGAATAGCTATCTCAAGTGGATATCTTATCTCTGCAATCTGACTTGAGTTTCTAGTGGCAGAGGTGTGGGGAACAATCGTAGGTGTTTCTGGGCTGGGCTTGGAGAATGCTCTTTGACTTTGTTAACTAGAATTCGACTTGGCAGGATTAGGCCCGTACCTATCAGCATATACCCTGGGCTGTGCCAACTCCCCCACGGGCAGACAGTGTTTAGGAAGAAACCCTGCCACTGCTTGGGGGGATCGCTCATGTAAGTGCTTGATAAGGCAGTGCATGTGGTGTCCGCACATGTCAACAAGCACTTAGAACAAAGGTGTGTGCTGGTATCTCTCCTTCTAGGTTGGTGAGGGGGAACTCTGGTGGCCTAGTGGCAAGAAGCTGCACTGCAATCCTGAAGGCACACGGTTTGAGGCTGCTCTGCAAGGGAAGGATGGGCAATCTCCTCCCCAGCGATTAACTGCCTCTGAAGACCTGTCAGAGGGTCAGCTGTGGGTTGGTTCCGACTCTACCATACACAAAACAGGCTGGTGAGACAGAAGACCTTTTAAATGTCCACGTTATATTGTCCTGAATTCTCCAATTATAGGTTACTAGAGACGTCTCCAAAGTACTGAAGAGCAACAATGTTAGTCTGAGACTAAGGTGCGCCTGATCCAGGCCATGGTCTTTGCAATAACTTGCTATGCATTAGAAAGCTCAACAATGACTAGGGATGGTAGAAGGAGAATTGATGCCTTTGAGCTGTGGTGCTGGAGAAGAGGATTGAATATATCATGGACGGCTAGGAGAACAAACAAGTTCGTCCTAGAGGGGGTGAGACCAGGCTGGTCCTTGGAGGCAAGGATTCTGAAGCTTCATCTGACATATTTTGGACATGTTGCATGGAGAGACCAATTCTTGGAGAGGGACATCATGCTTGGGAGAGTGGAGGGACAGTGGAAGGGATGAAGACCTTCGATGAGATGGATTGATTCAGTGACTGGGGTGATGGGAGTAGGTTTGTCAGAGACAATAAGATTGGCACAGGGTAGAGCAGGTTTTAGGGCGGTTGTATATAGGGTCGCTATGAATTGCAGGCGACTTGACGGCACACAACAACAACAAACCTCTTCCTATAATTGGAAAAAGTCCAAAGTCCTGTGGTCAACCCAATTGATCAATGACTGACCAATCCTGAATGTTGAGAGAGATACAGACACACAAGGACAATTCTCAGTACTTTATTTATCCCTTGGCTGGGAGAAGGGGCGGTGCCCTGAAATAGTTAGCCAATCAGATGGAGCCACTGGGACATATGCTATCTATCAGAAAGATAGTATATACAGCACTGATTATGCAGGGACAGTAAGGGAAGCAATAAGTTAAAAGCCATATAAGTTATGAAAAAATAATATATATATACTTTATATTTCTTTATCCTTAACTGAGGATTTGCTCCCTTGGAAACCAATAAATAGCCGGAGAAAAAAACAGCAGTTAGCACCCTCTTTTAGGCTGAATATATATATGAGTGAGTTCCCTTCAGCCTGAGAGGTGGTAGCCCTTTTGTGCTCCCTTAAAGGCCTGGAGGGCTGGGAGGGGCCAAGGTCTTAGGCTTCATGTCCTGGAAAATGAGATGAATGAATTAAAGTTTGGGACTGGAAATGGAGGTGAAGGTCTGAAGCCAGTAGGGAAGAAGAGAGGGAAGGAGCAAAGGGGACTGTACACAGTCCCCTAGCAACCCCCAAAAGTGAGAGTATGGCGAAGGGGATAGGAACACTTCTACTTTAACGCCTAATCTGGAGGGAGACTTTTTTTATTGATTGAGCCCTTTTAAGGCTCTCAGTGCAGGTCCCCAGCCTGACCTCAAGGGCTCAGAAACTTCCAGACCTGCTTGGACTGTGTCTTCTTCATGGCCCTCCCCCATCCCTGCCTCAAAGAACAGGGAGAGTGGACATGGGGAGGAGTCAAGGGCAGGACAAGTCCCTAGAAAAAGAACTATGACTCCCAAGGTGTGGGGTTTTCTGAAGTTCTCAGTGAGTATTATAAATGGGAGAGGTCCAGGATGTTTGGCCCAATGGAGAAGGGGAGGGCAGGGTGTTGGGCATTCATGGTAGGGTGAGGCTCGAAGTCTCCAGGACCTGGTGCTCCAAAGCCACCTGTTCAGGCTGGGAAAGGCCTGGGCTGTTGACTGGGAACTCGAATTACAGAGGAGTGATGAACCCAGGCAAAGAGGTGAAAGAAGTGTTTAATTCTCCTGCCTAGTCCTGGGCTGCCATTGAGCTTCCCCTCAGGGAGTTGATTATGGCAAGAATAGAAGAAGGTGCTCAGAGCTGGCCAGTTTGGAACATGAGCTCCTGGGAAGGGCCCACAGGAGGAGGAGGGACGGAGCCTGGGCTGTTCTCAGAAGTCCAGGCTCAGGCCCCTCTTCCCCTCACTCCCTAATACTGTCAGGTGTTGGGGAGGGGTGCCCAAGAGGTGGAGGGAATTCTGGGGATACTCAGCACAAGGCCTTCCAGGAACTCCAGATGAGGAGTGAGGGTACCCATGTAGTTCTCATCAGCCCCTAGTCCATCATCCATCGCTGGGACAGGACTGAATGAGCCAGGCAAGACTGAGACTGTTTAGGGCAAGGATCAGGCAAGAGAGTCAAAGGGACCTTGGTTAGAGTCCTATGTTGTGGAGGAGAGGTGAAGGGGAGGAGACTGAGGAGAGATGGAGACAAGACTGGTCTCAAATTCCATTTTCCTTAGCTAGGAAAATCACTGGCCAGAGGTTGGATGGGTGAGACATGAGATGTGGGGTAGGTCTGAGCAGCTGGTGAGATTCCCTCCCACCCTGCGAACCCACAGTAAAGTGGTCCCCGATTGAACCCTCTTCCTCTTAGGTCAGCATCAGGTCTTGCCTCCACTCCCAATCCAGAGGCTTCTAGCTGCTTTCTTGATTCTAGCTTAAGTGTCAGGGCTCCTGGGGTCCAGCTGCCTTACTCGGAGGCTTCTGACTCCTGGGAGAGAAACTTCTCTGATGTTTCCGTGATTTTAATCACATGGCCTTTGGTTTTCTTCTTTCGCGGGGCGGCCTTGGAGAGGCTTGACTTGGAGGCAACTACAGAGGAAATAAGGGGTAGGGGGCAGGAGGGGCTGGAGATTTGGGAGCTGCTTAAGATGATGCTTTAGGGTTATGATCCCGATGCCCCCCTGAGCTGTTCTCACCACGGGCCCTGGGGACGTGCATACTTACTGGCTCTGCATCGGGACTGCACAGTGCTGACCACAGCAGTTGAGGGCAGCTCCATCCTGGGGGAGGAGTATGGTGGCGTGTGAGGAGCTTGTGGCTTCAGTTCCTCTGAGATGGGCTTGCTGGGGGGTGGCAGCTGGCAGGGCCAGCCCTGGGATTGCCCTACTGTGTGATGGGCTTGTCCTCTTTTTTGGGCCTCTGTCCTTACTCCTTTTCATAAATACTGACACCCCTCAGCTGTAACTCTAGAGGGTGTTCCTGAGTCCTCAATGAATGTAAAGGAAGGCAGGCCAGGCTGGTTGATGTTTTAAGTCAGTTGTCATGGTGATGACTCCACTATGTGGAGATTCCACAAATGACAGAGCAGACATGTACTCTAAGGGTATTTTGGAAATAGATTGCCAGTTCTTTTTCTAAGACACATGTGGGTGGAATGAGGAGGGTCTTCTGGAAAGCAGCTGGGTGCATTAACTCTGCAGTATGCAGGGACTCCAGTTAATGTTTACTGAGCACTTATTTGTGATAGGCTTTTGCATGCAAAATCTCAATCCTTCCCCTGCCCACCTGTGAGGCAGGCCATATTTACATATTTACTATCAGCTCATTTTCCAGATAGGGAAATGTGATTTCACTAAATGGGCCAAGAAGCTTTACTGGTAAGTGGTGGGGCATGAACTTTCACCCAGGCCTGCTGGACTCACTCTGCCATGCTGGAGGGGATCCTGACTTCTGTGGGGCTGCTCCCAAGCCCTCTCTTCCCCTCTCAATCCCTCACCGGCTCTCCTCGCCCTCCACCAGCTTCCGGTAGGTGGCGATCTCGATGTCCAGGGCCAGCTTGGTGTTCATGAGCTCCTGGTATTCGCGCAGCTGGCGGGCCATGTCCTGCTTGGCCTGCTGCAGGGCAGCCTCTAGTTGGGCCAGCTTGGCCTTGGCATCCTCGAAGGCCAGCTCACCCTGCTCCTCGGCCGCCTTGATGTTCTCTTCCAGCTTCAGGCACTGCAGTCAGGATGACACATAGGGAAAGGACCAGTGAGAAGGCGTGGTGGGAGGGAGTGAGGGCCATGACCAGGAACTCACTGGGTCCTTGGTGGGCTTGTATGGAGGAGGAGGAGGAGCAATGGCATTTCTGGGTTGCACTTGAAGGCAAGAGGGACCTGAGGTTAGACATAAGGAGATACTTTCTTGAGGCCAGAGGGAAGCAGCACGGGTCACCTAAGGATCCTGTCCAATTACTTGTCCAGGCCTCTGCTCCCTTCTTTCTAGTTAATGGGAGGCCTGGGAGGGAGGCAGAGGTCTTTAGCCATGGGAGGTTTCAACTCAACACTGTCATCCAATTGTGACCCTCCAGCAGGGTTTTAGAAGCTGTAAATCACATGGGATGAGATGGCCCATCTCTCTCCTGTGGAGCATCTGGTGGACTTGAACCACTTGCCTTTGGGTTGGCAATGCAACTCCTCAACCTTCAGAACTCCCTTGTGAGGTGGGAGGGCCCTTTAACAGGCCAACAGCCCTGGCCAGTTTACAAAGCACACTGAGGCGTCACCACTAGGGAGGCTGCACTGCTGGCCCATTTCACAGGTGAGGAAGCTAAGGCACAGAGGTTTCCAGGGTCACCTAGATAGGCCATGCCTGCGTGCGGCACATGTGCTCTGTGTGTGTGGCTTCCTGCCCCCTCTCCTGTGGGCCCTCAGATGCTCACGTGGCTCTGGATGGAGACGATCTGGGACCGGAGCTTCTGGATGCACACGTTGAGGTCTGCAATCTCACTGCGGCTACTCTGCAGGCTGCTCCCGAATTCGGCTGAGCGGGCAGCTCGCTCCTCCAGCTGGGGCGGGGACATGGAGGGGTCACCATGGGTGTCCCTACCAGCACCCTTTCCCCGGTTTCTGCTCCTTTCCCTCTCATCTCACGACTAGCCCAATCCCTCACCATGTCTCCCCACCATGTCCCTGGCACCAGCCTCTCTCCTACCCCCACGCCCCATCATGACGGCTGTACCTGGCTGCCCTGGACTGAGTCCTGTGGGTTGTGCCCACATGTGACCTGGTGAAGCTGGGTTCCTGGAGACCACAGCCTGTGTGGGCTTCGTGCGGAGCTGGGCTCTGAACCCTCACTACCTCACACCTGCTGTGAGCTGACTGATGCCCTCCCCATCCACCGTCTGGTGCGTCCCCATCCCCAGTCCTAGAGGCTCCTTGCTGCCCCCAGGGCACCCTGCTGCTGCTGGAGACCTCAGCCATCACTGTTCACTTCCTCCCGTCCTGCTGCATCCCCAACCTATGAGTCAAGTTGGACAGACCTGGCTCCGGGAGTATGCTTCGGCCTCCTGCAGGCTGCGCGCTGCGATGGCGTCATACTGAGCCTTCACCTCCTCCACGATGCCACTCAGGTCAATGTGGCAGCGACTGTCCAAGCCCACAGTCACTGAAACATCCTTCACTTGGGCTGCCAGGTCCTTCAGCTCCTGGTCAGGCACATAGATGGTGATGTGTGTGTTAGGACAGGGGTTGGCAGATGGTCCTTGTGCCCTTGTGTTCTCTGCCACCCCCAGTTCCTTCCTTCCCAGGTGAGCAAAGAGTGCAATCTCTCCCTTCTTCCATCACGCCTCTCCATGCATCTTATAAAAGTAAGGTGTGCCTGACCTAAGCCATGGTGTCTTCAGTTGTCTTATGTGCATGTGAAAGCTGGACAGTGAACAAAGATGACTGAAGAACTTTGAATTAGAATGCTGGGAGAGAATATTAAGTATATGCCACAAGTTGCTCTCACTGGCTTCCAGAAGCACCAACAAATCTGTCTTAGAATAAATACAACCAGAATGCTCCTCAGAAGGTTGCATGCGGCACAGTCCACAGGGGTCCATCCAGGATGGCCAGGAGCAGCCATCAGAGAGGGACATACATTGGACAGGTTATCAAGAGGGACTAGTATCTGGCAAAGGACTTTGTGCTGGGTAAATTAGAGGGGTGGTGAAAAGAGGAAGATTCTCAATGAAAGGATTGATGCGTGGCTGCGGTGATGAACTGAAACACAGCAAAAACTGTGAGGCTGGCATAGGCCTGGCCGGTGTTCCATCTGACTGGGTCTCTGGGTCAGCACCCCTGCTCACCCTGGCTGTTCTCCCACCCTGGGTGTGGAGAGATGCTTGACTTCATGCACTCAAGCTACCATCTGCATTACTGCCATTGCCTGGACACGCTCTTCCTGGCTGGTGGGACAAGGCCCAGGGCTCAGGAGCACCAGGCTCCTTGATCATGGCTCTAATGTCATAGTTCTGTCTCTCCAGGGACAGGAGCTCCCTGTGGGCTGGGCAGAGCCTTTTCCATGGGCACATTGCCAGGCATAAGGTACATCTCAGTTTGTCCAAGAAAAGCTAGAAGGAAGTCCACAGTTGATAAGGACAAGGTGTAGCTAGGGGCTGACCAATGCACCCCCTCCTCCTGTGCGTCATTAAACATGGGGACAGGTGGCTCAGGCTGACGTCCCACATCTACCACCTAAACATGGGGTCACCAGGAAAGCTAGTTCTCATCCCCTTCCTAGCTGAGGGGCTTTCAGATAACAACAAAAGGATTTAGCTACAAACTTTTCATTGTCTTATCCTTGTCTTCTGTCTTCTCTGCCTCTTGCCTGCTGAAAAATTGTCAACTCACTTGCCCAGAGATACCTGGAGACACTAACATCTATCATTTCCCGAAGGTTCTGTCTATACCAGGATGTGTGTTCAGTGGCTTCCATACAGTCTCACAATTAATTCCCTGCGGCTGGTGCCCTCTTTGGCTCCAATTTGCAAAGGGAAAACTGAGGCACAGTGAGGTTCTGGGGCCAGTGAGTGCAGAGCGAGACTCCAGAGCCCCTGCCTTCTCCCTGCTCAGAAGCCTCCAGGGCCATGGCAAGAAGCCACAGCTATCTTGTTTTCCTAGTCCCAGGCTGGCTTCCCCTCACGCTTTGTCTACAGCCTAGCATCTTGCTGGCCAGCATACTCAGGGGTGTGTAGGGAGGCAGGTGGAAACAGGGGGTCTTCATATTCTTTGGGGCCAGGCTGCTTCTCTGGAGGTGCAGAAGAGCAGCCAGGCCAGGCAGGCCTCCTTTGGGAGGGAGGAGCCAGAGAGGAGTAAAGAGTGTCCGCTGCCAGCATTGTGCAGAGTGAGTCACCGGGCTGGCCTGGCAGGGAGCCTTTGAGTCAGGAAGAGAGCCAGGCAAAGGGCCAGCAGGGCTCAGGGCCCAGTCTGTAGGAAGTAGGCTTCCCAAGGGAGGGACTGTATGGAGCCTGGGCTGGAGGGTGCTTCTACTGCCGTTCATAGCCTACCCTTCAGCTGACCCTGACCTCACCCATCAAACCTCCCAATTTTCTGATTGCCTCAAAAGTTTTCCCCACTTGTATGTTTGAATCAGGATCCAAACAAAGTTCACACATGGTGGTTGGTTCCTCTAACTCTATGCTTCTCTTTAATCTATAGATTAAAGCAGAAAAATCCAAACTGGCTGCCATTGAGTCAATTCTGTCTGGACAACCCCACACGCACAGAGCACACCTGTCTCACAGGGTCTTTGAGGCTGGGATTCTTCAGAAGAAGGTTGCCAGGCCTTTCTTTTGCAGCACCCCTGGATGGGCTTAACCTGCCAACCCTTCAGGTAATAGTTGAACATTTAACCATTTGTGCTACATGAGAGTTCCAATCTATAACGACTCACTCTCGGTCAAGATTTTGCTGGCAGGCTCCCATGCTGGTTTTTAGAACACGCCCCTCTGTTCCCTGCATCTGCTGACACCTGCCTGTTGGATCTGGGGTCCTGCTCAGCCTCAGGTGCAGTTTCCTGGCTCTTCCTGGCAGTTGACTGTTCCCCACCTCTATGCTAAGGGAGGCTGTGGTTGACTCCTGGTTTCAGTGCCTGGTGCAGGCTGGTGCTTCTAAGGTGCCCTGGAGCTTCCTGAGCTGATGGGGAGGCTGAGCAAAGTTGCTCTTATCCAGCTGCTTTCTGTGCACCCTGGTCCCAGCATCTCGTGGAGATCAGGACAGACTTCTTTACATAAAAGGAAGCTGGGCAGTGGCAGGTACTGTGCAAGCCCTCTGGACACCTTGTAATCAGCAGGAGCCTGGACTCGGTGTCTGCCCTCATGGGGTCTCTTGTTGAGGTGCTGATCTGCAGATGAGCATCACAGAGAGCCACGTGCAGGCCAGAGTAAGGTTGGTGGTTACTAAGCTCACAGACTAACACTCAGCCTCTGATTCCTATCCAAGACTAATATTTCACATGTGGTCAGTGCCCTGGTGAGGGCTTGGCTATGGACGGTGTCAGAGACGCAGCATTAGGGTAAGTCTGCGCAAGGAGCTCTGGATTGAACCTTCAGTATCATGTCTCATCTAGGCCCAATTTAGCACTTGCTACTGTCTGGCCAGTCACCCCAGGTGCAGTCACCACTTGTCTGACAGTGTGGGGTCTTACATGTTTCTGTGCTGTTTCAATGCAGTTTCCAGACTAAGAGACTAGGAAGAAAGGCTTGGCAACCTACTTACGAAAACCAGCCAATGAAAATCCTGTGGATCATAATAGTCCAGTCCTATTGGTTGTGGAGTCACCATGAGTTGGGGTCAACTTGGTGGCCATTAATCCCTACAAAGTGACCAGGAAAAGGCTAGGGCACTATCAGGGCGCAGCAGAGGTGGAGAGGGCTTCCCTGCTGGAGTTGAAGGACTGGGACAACGCAGCTGATGCAGTAGTTTCTTGTCATTTCTGAAAATGGGCAGGGGAAGCAGGACCTTGGCAACAGACACAGGAAATGGAGGGTTTAAAACATCCACAGATGTGTTCAGGCATGCCGGCCCCTCCAGGCTGCAGAGGATATGACACGACAATGCTTGCCTGTGTGGTGTGGAAATGCCACCACGAGATGGGTCCCTTAAAGAGGATGTGCATCTCCAAGTTGGCAAGAATTAAGCCAAAGAACAATTTAGAGCTTCCCTGAGAGCCAAAGTCTGAGGGGGATGCCATGTGTGTGGCCACCCTCTTGAAGGCCACAGGTCAGGACTGAAGGTGACTCCAGGGCTAATATAGTGCTGGCCAGCAAAATGTAGCATTTAATGGCACAGGACTCTGAATATTCCAGCTAAATTTTTAAATCTCTCTAAGCTTTAGTTTTCTCATCAATGAAAATGAGTGCAATTATAGAACTGAATACCAACATTCCACCCCTCAAACTCACTGACTACCATCACATGAATTCCAAATTATGGAGGCCTTCTATCAAGTTTCTGAGACTATAAATGTTTATGAGAGGAAACGGCCTCATCTTTCTCCCTTTGGAGTGGCTAGTGGATTTGAACTGCCAACCTTTTAGTTAACAGCACAACATGTGCCCCAAATGGTTCTAAGTGCTTTAGGCGTATTAATAAAATTAATCCTGACAGCAGCTCAGGGAGGCAGTTGCTATTATTCTCCCCATTTTATCGATAGAGAAATCAAGGCATACAGAGATTAAAATTACCTGCTCAATTAACATAATCCAAGCAGCTCAAAAAACTAGTGCTCTCTTATTCATGTCAAAGTGCCTACTTCATAAGGTTGTTGTGAGGATTAAATGAGATTAGGTATGGAAACATTTAGCAGAGTTCCTGGTATAAAGTAGGGGCTCAGTAAGCAGGCACTGAGTATAACATTGCTGTAATTGGTAAACGTGATGAAGCCAGGTCTCAGTGGCCAGGGTAGCCAATTTCTGGAGCAATCTCCTCAAGATACCTTGAGGGCTGGCGCCAGCATCGCCCAGCCAGCTCCAGGTTCTCTGCAGAGCTAGGTCCCCAGGCTGCTCCTGGCTCTGAGGATTGTCAGCAAATTCCCAGTTAATCTCCCAGGAACCAGAGTTTATGGGTGGGGCAGGTGGTGTTCCAGCTGGATGTAGCTAGACTCAGATGCACAGGGAAACAGGAATTCACGTTGAATGCTGCAATGCAATCTGGAGGGAGAATGTGAGTATGTGGTGGGGTCCTTGCTCTGGCCCCATGTCCTAGAAGGCTGTCAGTCATGAAGCCTTGTGATGGCCTCAAGAGGTAGACAAATCCCCAAGGAGGCTGCAGTGGGTGGAGATGAGGCTCTGAAGAGCCCCATGGCCATCGGCTCCTGCTGAGCTGGTTGGGGAGGGATATTTCAGCACTTTTCCAGGTCTTATTTTACCCAGAGGTGCTTCTGGGCTCAGGGAAGACCCAAAGGGGTGTATGTGTGTGTGTGCTGAAGAGATGAGGGTTATTTATTAGGATACAAAGGGTGAGCCTGTCCAGCACACCTTTTCTGATCTGGTGTGCTAAATTAAAACCAGAGTGCAGAACTCTCTGGGGGCTACTCATGTTCTACTATGTCTGACTTTCACTGAAGGCAGCCATAGCTGGCAACTTCCTTTGCTCAGAACTTCCCTGTCCATTATGGTAGCCCCTAGTCATAAGAATGCCAGAAGAAGAATTGATACCTTTGAGTGATGCTGGAGAGGAGTACTGACTATCTCATGGACTGCCAAAAAACCAGATGTGTCCTGGAAAGGGTGTGAGGGCAAGGATGACCAAGCTTTGTCTTTCATACTTTGGACATGTAGTTGATGAGGCTATTGCTTGGAAAGGGACATCACACTTGGAAAGATAGAGGGTCAGTGAAGGAGAGGAAGACTCCCAGTGAGATGGATTGACGCTGTGACTTCAACAACGGCCTCTAGTGTCTCAGAGATGATGACGATGCACAGGATAGGGCCGGGTTCAGAACAGCTGTTTAAAGGGTCACAATGGGTCATACTTGACTCATGGCACCTAATAGCCACAACAATACAAGTCATCTGCTACGGACTCTGATGGCTTAGTGGTAGAGTGGAGCTGCCAACCCAAAGGCTTGTGGTTTAAATGCACCAGCTGCTCCTCCCGTGCGATTGTGATTTATGGCCTCTAAAAAATCCTCTGGAGGGTCATCTAGGAGTCAGTTTTGACTCAGTAGAGCACACCAATGCCAATAACCACAGTCACCTGTTAACCCAAAATTGGTTATTCAAACCCACCCAGTGCTTCTGCAGCAGAAAGACTTGGTGATTTGCTTCTGTAAAAATCACAGTCAAGAAAATCCTATGGAGCAGATCTACTCTGTGCACATTGGCACCAACATGAACCAGAATGAACTAGGTTTTTCTTAGATGCTGTTGAGTACAACTCATAGCGACCATGAACAACAGATCTGAACCCTGTCCTGTCCTGTGCCATCCTCATCAACTCAGTGACGTCCAACAATAATGGTAATGGCCGTGTTACTGCTGAGCACTTGACTTTGTCCAGCATGAATTGAGATGAGCTCTAAGTGTGAAATACACACCACAGTTCAAAGACTTAGTATGAGAAAAGTATATAAAATAGGCCTTTAATTAAAAAAAAATTACTGGTGTCAAAATAACATTTTGGGGGAGCTCTGGTGGCCTAGAGGCAAGAAGCTGCACTGCAATCCCAGAGGCGCACGGTTCGAATCCACCAGATGCTCTTCCGGGGAAGGAGGGACAATCTCCTCCTGTACCAGTCAGATCTGATTTGACGGTACATGCACACACACAAATAATAAAATGAAAATTTAAAATAAAATAACATTTTGGATATATTGAGTGATTTGAAATATGTATTACAATTAATTTTATTTATCTTCTTTTTTTAGATTTCTAAAAATTCTGCCTAGGAATTGGAATTGGCTAGATGGTAACTATGATGGAGATGGTACTAGAAAATGAAAAATTACCTGTGTGACTTGCACTGTGTTTCTGTTAGAGAGTGAAGACTTAGAGACCCAGAGATGTGTGCAATCTTTTTAGGAAGGGGTCAGTGTTGCCTTCTCAGCATTAACTGATACATGGAGAGGAATACAAGCACCAATTCAAAACCTTGCTGCTTCCCAGAGCAATAATTGTTATAAGGTACTAAGCGCCTACCATGTTCACTACAGCTGCTCTCCCACAGCAGTCTCACAAAAGCACAAGCCATAGCCACTCCTCCACAGCACACCCACCAGTAGTGAGCTGCTCCTCTCACTTAGGAAAAAGTCCCCAAGCTCCTTATTCGATGGAGTCCCTGGACCTCCATGGCCTGACCCCTGCCAGGGCTTTGTGACTTCCTCTCTGAGGGGCTCCTGCAGGGCCTCCTTTCCCTAGCCACAACTGCCTCATGTCCTTTAATCGATACCTGCTCCTGACTTATGGGCTTTGCTCAGTTCTCCCCTCCACCTTCTTCCAGATCTCCTTGGGGCTGGCTCTTGTCCATCTGGAGCCCCAGCTCACCAGCACTTTCTCTGCGAGGCCTTCCTGAAGGGGATCTGAAGTTCTTCCTTCCCTCCAGCACTATTAGGGCACCAGGCATCCGAGTCTGGTCTCCTTCTACATTGACCTTGTTCAGGTATTTGCTCACTTGCTTATTCCATCTCCTCTCAGCTAAGCAGGGATTTTGACTTTGAATGCTACTTTAATGAGCTCTGGTGGCTTAGTGGTATGGAATTGTGTTGCTAACACAGATGTAAGTGGTTCAAATTCACCAGCTGCACCATAGTAGAACAATGGGCAGACATCCCCCGTGTGATTTACTGCTTCTGAAAACGCACTTGAACGGTCAGCTATGCATTAGTTCAGACTCGGTGGTAAACAAAAACAATAATGGGCCAGAGCTTGGAACATAATAGATATTTGCCAAATGAATGAATGGGTTTAAGCAATTATACAAGGTGAGTACTACCACAACTGTGCTGGGCAGGTAGTATTACTGTCTCCATTTTGCAGATGAGGAAACAGAAGCACAGAGAAGTGAAAACATACCCAAGGTCTCAAGAACCGTAAAGGTCAGAGGCAGGATCTCTGCAGCCCTTTCTTTGTTAATGAGACCGGGGCCAAGCACACGGTGGGGGTGTACTTCCCGCAATGCCCCGGCACACTGCTGTATGTTCAGCCTCTCGGTTGTATCACCACGTTGGCAGGCCTGCATCCTGCCTTAGAGCCTGGGCTAGCAGGAAAGAGTGCTACATCTCAGTGTCATTGATAGTGACCTGCGCCACACCAGCCCACAAGCATCGCACCACAGGCAGCCTCTTATGAGGCCATCATACTAGTCCAGGAACGCGAAGCTCTCCTAGCCCACAGTGCGAGCGGTCTTCCTGGGAGGGCTGCCTTCCTGCTGGCCCCAAGGGTTGTGATGCTGCTCTGCTCTGCTCTACCTCATGGCCACAAACAGCTGTCAGTTCCATAGGTGCTGAGCCTGCTGGGAAGGAGCATGGCCAAGCATAGCCATGCAACTCAATCTCCACAGGGCAAGGAAGGCCACGTGGCTCTGGACAGCAGCTTGCAGGATCATTTTAGCAGACATTTCTGACTGAGAGGGAGACTCTCCACTCTTTATGTATGAACAACCAGCCATTAAAACCCTGGAGGGCAGTTCTGCTCTGACAGATACAAGGTCACCATGAATCTGAATAGATTCAATGACAACAAGTCTCTGTGGCTCCTGTCTTTTTGGCCAACTGCATGATTCTTGCCTGGATGTGCCCAGTCCTCTGAACGCTCTCAGTGCTCCACACACACTTCAGGATGCATGTTCTCCCTGAGGGAGTTCTTTGGGAACATGACCGTGCTCCATGCTCGTGGGTGATGGGGGAAGGATGGGATCAACAGAGGAAGAGGTTTAGGAGGTTCTTATATCTGTGGTCAGAAAGGATAAATGTCTGCTGAAGGCCCACACTCTGCTGGACGCCCAGCTTTCTCTGCGGCCCATTCCCACATACCATTTGATTCTTGGCTGGGCAGGACCCTGGCCCCTCTCACTCACCTGCTCATAGACAGTTTTCATCAGCTCCACGAAGCTCTGCAGGCCTTTTAACTTGGTTTCCAGTTCAGTCCGCCGAAGACACTCTGCATCTAGGTCCTGGGGTTGGGAGGAGCAGTGTGCTATCAGACAGGGAACAGAGGGGTCCCAGGCAGGAGTGGGGGACAAGTTCTTTGTTTCCTATGTGAAAGTGGGGTGATCCCTCTGGGAGAAAGGAGGAACATGGGGACAGAGGCATCTTAGTTTCTGTCTGTCTGCTGATAAGAGAATCAAGCCTGTGAGGACTTTATTTGGGAGTAGAGGAAGAGAAGAAGCCCTGGTGGCCATAAGCTGCTAACCAAAATGTTGGTAATTCACACCCAGCCAGCTGTTGCAGTGGAGCAAGGCCTAGCAAACAGCATCCCTCAAGATTACAGCAAAGAAAACACTGTGGGGCAGTTCTGCTCCGTCACATGGGGCCGCTATGGGTTGCAATAAACGTGACAATGTGACGAGCAGAGGGGTCTGAGGGACAGAGGGCAGAGGCCCAGGAGGAAGGAGGAGGGTGCTTGAGCCCCGGCTACCTTCTTCAGCTGGACAAAGGTGAACTCCATGTCTGAGCGCTTGGAGATCTCTTCCTCGTATCTGAGATGGGGGGACAGAGGGGCAGAGGGGGAGAGGGAGGAAGAGACAGGAGATGTGGAAGGGTGGAGGGAAGGGGGAGAGAGTGGAGAGAGAGGGAGAGAGAACTGAGTCGATGCCAGTGTTCAACTGAACCAATTAGAACAAAGAGGCCGTTCAGGTGGATGCAACCCCTTATCTCTCTATACCCAAGTCTCTCCCTCCCTCTCCCTCCCCGATGGTCACCTATCCTCTTCCTCTGGTCCCCACTGAAGCTTTACTAGAAGGTGGACACCGCCTCTCATGCTCCTTCCAAAATGAGGTCAGAGAGAGTGTGGCTTTGCAGTCAGACTGACCCATGGCTTGTTTTGGGCCAGTGATGTCACACTTCTCTCTCGGCTTCTGTGAGGTATGGGTGTGGATGTGTGGGTGTGTGAGGTGACAAAGCCCACCTCTGATGCAATGTGAACAGTCAGTCCTCCACAGGGGTGGGGTCCCTCTCTTTCAGGCTTGCCTCCTTCTTCCTCAGGTGTAACTCATGTTTGGAACAAGGGCATAGTTGGCTGAGGGAGCGAGATCCCTGGTCCCTGACCTTGACCTCTTCCTCCTATCAAGGTGTTTGTCTTGGCCCCACGTGGGTGGGTGTCTGCCAGCCTGAGACTTCCCTGCCCCAGTGGATGTGGGGATTCTGTGGCTTCCTGTTTTCCCGCCCTCCTCTCCAGGGAATGCCTGAATCACTGGCTCTAATTATAGCCGCCTGTCTGCCCCAGCCCTTGACCTCATGGTGGAGGCAGCGTCACCCATTACCTAGGTCAGCTGGCTGGAGCTGGACTTGCCCTTCCCCCTCAGTGCCTCCTCACTGCACTCCCACCCACCAAGCTGACTGAGGAACCGAGGGGAGCCCCTACAGGAGGCTAGAACTTGACTGACAGAGTGCTAGATGCAAACATTTACCCTTTCAAGACCCAAGTCTGAGAAGAGCTCTGAGGGTACAGACCACAGCCCTGAGGCTGAGGTAATAGAGAGGGGGACCGGCCAACAAAATGCCCATGAAGTGCCCCAACTGGAGGGGGGAGTGACCATCTTCCCTCTACCTACATTCTTTCTCCCCCCCTCCCCCCCATTCTCTCTTGTGATCTTCAGGGCCCATAGCTAGTGGTTCCATTTTACAGATGAGGAGACTGAGGTTTCCAGAAAGGCTTGGTCTAAGCTGGTGACTATTGAGTGTCGCAGTTGGGTAACGTGCTCCGGAGCCAGTTTCAACGCAACTCACTGCAGTTGAGTTGGTTGTGTCTCATATCGACCCTCCACCAGGTCTCTGAGGCTGCACATCTCGATTGGAGATGTCTAGCCTCCTTTCTCCCTCAGGGCAGCTGGTGGATTCAAATGGTGGGAGTGACAACATTTAGGTTATATATGATATAGATGACGCCACAGAGCTGCTTGGACTCAGAACTTACCTTCCTTGCTTCCTAGCTGTGTGACTTGGTTAAGTTGCTGTGCATAGTATAGTAACAGTGATGTTTATGAGGACTGAGTAAGTCCACACATGGAGTATCTAGGGCAGTGCCCACCAAAGCGCACACTGTTGCTCCCCGAACCAGCGCCCTCCCATGTCAGGGCCTGGCCTTTAGCTCTGCCCTCTGCCCTGACTCTCTCGCCCACGAAGCAACCTTGCAGGGGAGCACAGATCTCTGCCCTTCCTTACAAAGCCTTAGGACTCACACAGGGATCTGGGGCGAAGGAGTCTCTGGGGATCTTCCTGTCTTGGGGATCCCCGACCTAAGATGCCCTCCATTGATCAGTCCTTCCTCATTTGCTTATCTCTCCCTGCCTGCTTAGCAGATTTTGCCAGCCTGGGAACAGGAACTAGGGGTGAGCAATTTGTGGGGTGCTCTGAGGTGCTGAACCTCCTCTTCCTCCTCATTGCTCTCCCTCTCTTTTACCTCTTCTTGTTCTGTTTATTGCCCTGACCACTGACCATCACGGAATCATTTCTGACCACTGCTGCCTGATCCTCTACTTATTTTTAGCTCTGCTGACCAGGACACCCTAGGAGGAGCATCTCAGGTCCTGGAGCTGGGTCCTGAGACCCTTCAGAGTCTCCCAGCTCCTAGAATTTTCACTTGGCTGGGACTGGGGTGGGGAAGAGGGAAGTTATGCTGCTAGGGTGTCACTTCCGGATCCACCAGATAGAAACATGCCGGGGTGGGGGTGGGGCAGGGAAAGGTGAGTCAAGGGGAGACAGGAGACTTGGAGCCAGATTGGGAAAGGATCCCAAAGAGAAGGACCCTGAAAGTATGGGGGCCTGAGGTATCCTCAGTGTCCTGTCTAGAGTGGGTCTTCCCTGCCCCTGGACCTGCAGACATGCTAGGTGGGATGGGGCTTGCCACAGGCCTTTCTAGAATCTCTCTGGTGGCATAATACAACCACTGGCCTCATGCAAGAAGCTGAGTTTTAGTTTGGGACCAGACCCTATAAGACTTCTGTTTTCTCACATTTAATCTTAATATGAGCTAGGAAAAGTCTCCCTTTCTCAGGGGGCATCCAGTCCTGCACCAATCTGCACAACTTGTTGCATGACTGGATTCTAGCCTGAGTTTGCTTTCTCAGCAAGATTCTCTCGTGCAGTGAACAGCTTGCACCACTGTACATGATGTCCCCAAGTCTTTGCTATGTGGCCTTGGGCAAGTTGCTTTCTCTTTAGGGACCTTTGCTTCCACTTAAGTAAACGAAGGGTATCACTACTAATCCTTGGGGTCCTTGCTGTCTCTAAGTCTTTGGAAATCTCTGTTGCCATGGAGGCCTTGGTGACGCCATTTCCCCCATATCACCTCCAGTCCTCTGCCAGTCTGCCAGCCACCAGCTTCCAAACCTGTTCTCAAGCCCTTTTCAGCTTGTCACACACCAGCTCGCAACTTGTTTATTTCTGGAAGCAAGGCTGATCTCATCGCCTTGAAGAGGCAGGGCACAGCCCCTCCCTACCAGGGCTCGGCCTGGCGCCTCCTGGCTCCTGGGGGCCTCAGGCTCCGTGCAGCCCCACTTCAGCCCCTCAGCTCTGGCCTGCAGACCCAAGACTCCAGCCTTGATGATAGGCCCAGCCTCTCATTCCTACACTTTAGTGGACTGCCTCTGTAGAATGAGGGAGACCCCAAGTCTAGATAGACTGAAAAACAGGCAGCAGGCAATGGAAACCAGGCAGCAGGCCAAATGAGGGGGCTGAGCCAGATTAAAACAACAAGTAGTAGTATTTGTACAGAACTTCCAGGTACAAAGTGCTCTCATCAACAAGAACTGGCTGGCTGGGTGCATGGAAGTAGCCTTCCTGGTGACCAGCTGGGCTGCAAGCTGGTTGAACTTAGCATGCATGCTTTGTGACTACAGACAAGCCCCTGCCTCGTCTGGACCTTGTTTCCTTCCCTGTAACACGAGAATGAAGACCTCCTCTAGCTCTGCTTGTCTTGGGTCCCTTGAGGGCTAAAGACCTAGTAGGTATCAGAAAAATGTCTTGTGGGTTCTGATTAGCTGACAAGGCATCCTTTTTCCCAGTTAGGCATCAGCAAGGATGGACAAGCAGATTCCCTGAGTGTTTCCAAAAGAGATGAGGCCAAAGGAGGAATGTGAGCATCTTTGTCCCTGAATCGATGTTCACTGCCCCGTCAGATGATTATGTCTCTTCTGAGCAACCCAAGAACATTAAAATCTGGCCAGCAAAACTCCTATTGTGCACCAGGCTTTTAAGACTCTAGGTGCTGGGAGAGCTGCTGTTTATGACTGCCAGGCTGGACTCCCATTTTATTCCTTGCATCAGCCTTAAAGAGGTATCAATCATCACCATTCCTAAGGGAGCTCTGGTAGCCTTGTGGCTAAGGAGTGCATTGCCAACCCAAAGGCAAGTGGTTTGAACCCCCCACTGCTCTACTGGAGAAAGATGAGATGATCAGCTTTCATGATTTTGAGTTACAGATTTAAGTTCTACTCTGTGCTATAGGGTCACTGTGAATCAGTATCAGCTCAATGGCAGTGGGTTCTATTATCCCCATTTTACAGAAGAGGAAACCGAGGTGCAGATAGATGTAAAGCAGCCTGCCTGAGGTCACAAAACTAGAAAGTGTAAGAGGCAAGGCTCCACCTCCTCCAGTCAGTACCCATGCCCCGGCCTTCTCCATGGGCACACTCTGCCCTCTGATTGTCTGGCTTCCCCAGCAAGCTCTAAAACCATCTTGTAGGCGGAGATGTGTTTTTCCTTATCTTTCAGTTTCCAAAGTCAACCTCAATGCCTGGTACACATTACTTATAAGAGATTGCTGCTTTAATCAAAACCAAAATCCACTTTTCCCATCCTCTGCCTGCACTCCAGTTACTTCCCTCTTCTTTCTAGCCCCGTCGAGATAATAATCCAGAGCCATACCCGAGGCATCAGTCCATCTGTTGTTGCAGCTTAGTGACATGATTTCCCATCACTAGTGGAACATATGTGCAAGAACAGGCATGCTGATGGGGACCAGAGGGTGGATGGGCTGGTGTGCGGAGTCAGAAAGCACAGTGCCTAATTGTGAACCAGAGACAAGACTGGCTTTCACTGTAGAGGTGACTATTCGGGACGGATTGGTGTTGTTGCAGTAGTTAGAATACTGGTGGGCACATAGTAGGTCCTCAGTGAGTTATTTCTGGAGTCGAGAAACATCCTTTAGCCCCTCTCCTCTGACACTGTGTCCCCTCCTGCCCACCTGTACAGGTTGGCTCTGGGAGCCACCCAGGTCCTACTGTGTTCCCCAGGGAGCTCGGCCTACCTGATTCGGAACTCCTCCACCTTCCCCAGCACCTGCAGCAGGTTGGCTTCCAGCTGTCCGCGCTCCTGGCTCACTTTGCGCAGCTCCTCCTGCAGCCGGCCCTGGTAGTCCTCGTAGAGGTGTCCCAGGTCAAAGGGGACAGAGTTCTGGCCCTGCAGGAAGCTCCAGCGTGTCTCCAGCAGTTGGTTGCGCTGCTCCAGGGCTTGCACCTGGGAGAGCAGGAAGGCGGGAGTGAGAAGGCCTGATGTGGTCAGGTCAGGAGCTGAGGCCCCACGCCCTGGAGGGGGCCCCTCTGAGAAGTGGCAGCTCATCCCAGCACACCCACCCACCGGGGCCCTCAGTGCCTTCAGAACTAATCTCCGATTACTGATTGTTCCACCTGGAGATGGCGAGATAAGGAGGGAATCAGAAAGCAGTGGAGCCAATAAGCAAAGGTTTCCCAGGGGAAGGGTAGGGCCTGGGTAAGTGAGGGGAGAGGGAACGGGATTTGCCAATGAGGTGAAAGGCTGCTGATGCCCGCCTGGGGCTTGGGTGGGAGACCCGGGGAGCGTGGGGTGTCGCAGTCCTGTCCCCCCCTTGACAAGCCTGGTCTCATCTTGCCTTGGAAGATCAGCAGGGTAGGGCCTGGTTGGGAGTCCTAATCCTCCGACAACCTTGGACGTGCACTCTGCTCACTAAGCCTCAGTTTCCCTGGTTGGAAGTTGGGAATGTTGCCACCTGTCCTGCCCACCTTTGAGGACGACTGGGGGAGGAACCCTGGAATAATAATACTAGCAGATGTTTATGAAGCATCCATTGTGTGCCAGGCATTGTTCTTGGCTTCTCTGAATCACAGGAATAACCTGATGGGGTAGACGTGTAGCTGCGTCCTATAGATGAGGACTCAGGCATTTTGGGGTTAGGATCTCTTCTTGCTCTTAGCCACTGCAACACCTACCGTTTGTCCATCGCTTGAGTTACCAGAAGGCTCTGGGACTAGTGCTGCCCTTCCTGGGCTGGCTATTGCCTTGAAGCTGGTGATGGGGGAGGGGGGTGAGTCTGAGCCCACCTTGGCCACGTGCTCTCCTACTTGGATTCCTCGCAGGACCGGAGGACCACACCACAACTTCCACCGTGTCCTCATTGAGTCCTGTCCTTCCTCCAACCCAGCACAATCCTGCTCAGCCTCGGGCTCCCCTGCCTGTACTCCCCCTGATGTCTACTGGCTCCAGCCTTCCTCAGGAACTCTCCTCTAATCAGGCCCTCCAACTCTCTTCCCTGTTTTGCTCTGTCTCTCTTCCTGCAGGAAGCCTTCCATGACTAATAGTGGAGGAGACTTCCCCTCCCTCTCACTACTGAGGCCTGGGGTTTATCTGCATTCCATTTCTCTTGACCCACTGTGTCTCTTTGTCAGGTTGTCACTGTTAAGTGTCATTGAGTCGACTCCTACTCATAGCGATCCTACGACCCTACGTACCACAGAACAAAGCCCTGCTCTATGCTATGCCTTGTCAGTCTGGGGTCTATCTTCTCTCTCACGATCCTTATCCTGTTGGGGCAGGAGGAGCCTGAATCCTGGACAGCTCAGGTTGTTGTTGTGATAGTGACTCTGATAATATCCCAAGTGATCAAAGGCTAGGCCAGGCCAGGCATCTCTGCCAAGCTGCTGGGCCTCTTCCCATCCCGTGTCAGGCCCTGGAGGGCTCCAGAATCACAAGGCGAGAGCTGCCAGGGCCTTTGGATCAGAACTTTGCAGAGGAGGGGACTGATGGCGGTCTGGGGTGTCTGTCACACACAGCAAGCTGGTGGCGAGCTCTTCCCCTGACAGCTGCAGCCCAGTCTAACCCTGTACTGGGGTGTCTGGTGGGTCTCTCTGTCCTGTCCACACTCCCAGGTGTTAATTTTATCCCATGAGAGGCTTTGACGGCTTTGGGACGTCCCCTCTGACACTCAGAATAGACAACATGGCAGAAATCACGGAGGGTAGCTTGTGGAAATGGCGCTTGTGGGCTGTCACTCTCAGCGTATAGGTAAGTTCTGCATGAAGCCAACTTAAGTCTACCACCTGCTGTCATCTCAGCCAAACAGGTTCAGTAGGGATGGAGGTCAAGAGGGTTTCTGCCTTGCTTTGTGGGTGCGAAAGGGAGCAGGGGAGCTATCTGCTCCATTCCCTCCATTTGACAAGCAGGAGCCCCGTGTTTACACTGAGGGTGGAGTAATGAGAGATGTGAGGCTCTTTCTCCACCCATGAGCAGTAGAAAAACTTTTTCATCAGGAAGTTCTTCTCTTAGTCTAACCTCAATCCTCCATGTTCTAGCACTGGCCCACTGGGAAATGTTGTACATCAGGGACCGGCCAATCCGGCCAGAGGGCATTTTTGGTCTCGGAGGATCAGGGGCCACCTCCTGTCTCCTCTTGCCCTTTGGGGACTCACTTGTTGTCTCAGTGGGTGGGGAATGA